CAAATCCTTTGCTGGACTTTTTTGGCATGTTGAGATGGCAGAAAACTATTTTGACTTTGTTTTTTTCGGTGAGACAGGGGAGAAAGGGGAAAGGAAAATGCTCTGTTGATTTCAGGTGCAGAGTTTTCTGAAAATAACTCTGAAATATGAGTTCACAGAAAGGCAAATTTCTTTTCAGTTCACTGTAGTCAAAGCTCAGTATAATTTATTTTAATTTAAATAATTCCAGTCCTGTTTTAAGCAAGGGAAATAAAGTAGCTAAAGTTCAATACATAATGTATTATTAGATACATTCATTGCAAGTTTATGAACATATAAACACCAAATTAAAAAAAAAGTATTGTAATAATACCATAGAGTAGAGCACAGTCTTTGCTCCAGGTACCTCATACTAAATTCCCCTAACTTTTCACCCTTTGATCATTAACTGTTTCCACATCTAGTAAAGGAAAACAGTGCTAAGATTCATTTCTTTTCATAGCAGTTCAAAACTACAAAAAATTCACAGATTAACAGAACTCTATTGCTTTAAAGTCAGTTAGGGGAAAGGAGCAAATGGACTATATATGCTTTCAGATTTCATAATGATTTCCCAAATTTCACCACATACATTTGAATGAGAAATATATCAAATAATTCAGTTTATCTCTAGTTGACTGGTTAATAAATTTAAAGATTGGATGTTCATTTTTTCACCACTTCAAATCCAGGCTTTGTCTGCCATTACAATATTTTATTTCAAACTATTCAGTGCTCAAGACATGTATGATCAAATATAGATTCGCTAGAGAAGTTTAAGACTGTAGCATCACCTCCTTTGTCAATATATGATGCTGAAACATTCACCCACATTCAGATTTTATGTCCATCTGTTCCTTCTAGTAATTTCAAGTAGATTCCTGGCAAACAGGCTGTTAGTATTATAACAACATCTTACAATTCCACTTTTTTGCACAGTACATTGACAATCAGAACAGACAGGCTAATACCTGAACGAACAGAGAGTTATCAGCTGTACCTCTGAACTACAATAGCTAAGGCACAGTGAGATTTTTGCACTGCTACTCTCAAAATAGAATTTTTCAGATGAAAAACCTAAATGTGAAACTGCAAAAAATAAATATTTAAATCCTTTTTAAGTGAATGCAAAAAACAGACCAGCATACTAATATTTAACACTGCTCAAGTTATGGTCTTGTTGAATTTAATACTCTACATTATGGAGATATTGAACAAATAGTAAATGTGAAATTTAAATTTATTTTCCATGAAAAAAATGAGAGTGACCATCTGATCCAACCTTATATTCTAAGCAGTTACAAGCAAGCAAATGCTTCAACGAAGCAAAATATTTTTAAACTTACAGCAAATGCTTCAGTGAAGCAAAATGTTTTTATACTCACAGCTACAGATGCCCCTGAGAAAGTTACTGAATCATACTGTTCACGAGGAAGTCTGAAGGTCTTAGAAGGGCTCTCCTTCAAACTGGTTATGTTCTAAGAATGACCAAAGGTCAAGTAAATGCAAAAATGGAAAAAAAGGTCTAAGTCAAAGATATAAATTCACAAATGTGTAACAATTTAGTATTAGGTACATCAGTCAAATACACATTGGCTATTGACTGGTATCTCTTGTCCAAATCAAAATCCATTTGCCTGGGCCCCCTTTCTCTTCTTCAGGAGAGGATGCTTGAAACAGGTTTCTTTCTGCTACCTGGCCTGCAATTTTGCAGCTATGCCTGCAATACATAAAAAAATGGCAAAATCTCAAGATCAAACTCAGAGCGAGTTCCCAAACATATGGTCAAATGTTATATTATACTATATAAGAATATAGCTTTCACATCAAAATGGCTACTTTCTAGAATGCATTGCCGTTTACATGCAAAGTCCTCTGAAACTGCCAAAAGTGTGTACACATATACATATATATTTCTCTCTAATAGTATTTAAGCATATTCATAATTATGCTTTAAAGCATTTGGACAAGTAACATGGAAGCAGCTTTAAGGATTTTTTCCCTGTATGGACAAGTTTTACTATCAGTCTTGCAGTGTACAAGCCATAGACTATCAAAAACAACTTCAGCTGTCAAATTTTCACAATAGATTAAACCTAGTGAACAGACTGAAGACCTTTATATGTGCATATGCGGAACATACTTCTTTAATTTGTATTTTTATCAATTTTGAAATGTTACAGTGTACTTCCTGCATCTTATTTTCAGAATTTGCAATTTTATCATCTTTTGATCTCCAGTTGGAAAGTACTTGATAATCTCCTCCTTTTAATTTGCATATTTCTTGTAAATTGATGCATTGGTTTCACTTCTTTCTCCTGTCTGCAAATTTCTCTCCCTTTCTATTTGTTTCCATTTCTTCTTGGCTCTGTTGTCAAAATAAATATAGCAAACATTTTTTGCATAATTTATTACAGAAAAATTATATTTACTTTCAGAGACATTTAAAGAATTAAACTTTCAGCATTTACAGAAGTAACAGAGATATGAATATTTTACCCTAATGTAACTCATCCATTTTCAAAATGTTCCATGAAGGTATTTTTCTCGAAAACCTTCCCAAGGAGATATTTGAGAACCATACGGTTATTGCACAAAGAACCCAGATATTGCAGCAACACTAGTGATAGATTACAGAAGGTGGTTTTAGAGGATCTGGATCTATATGGTCGAGGGAGGTGATCCTCCCCCTCTACTCAGCCCTGGGGAGGCCTCACCTGGAGCACTGTGTCCAATTCTGGGCTCCCCAGGACAAGAGAGACATGGCGCTACTGGAGAGAGTCCAGCAGAGGGCTACAAAGATGATGAGGGGACTGGAGCATCTCCCACATGAAGAAAGGCTGAGGGAGCTGGGCCTGTTTAGCCTGGAGAAGAGAAGACTGAGAGGCGATCTCATCAATGCCTACAAGTATCTGAAGGGAGGGTGCAAAGAGACTCTTCTCCGTGGTGCCCAGCGACAGGACAAGAGGCAACAGACACAAACTGAAACACAGGAAGTTCTGTCTGAACATGAGGAAAAACTTCTCTACTGTGAGGGTGACTGAACACTGGAACAGGTTGCCCAGAGAGGTAATGGAGTCTCCTTCCCTGGAGATATTCAAAACCCACGTGGATGTGATCTTTTGCAATGTGCTCTAGCTGACCCTGCTTGAGCAGGGGGGTTGGACTAGATGATCTCCAGAGGTCCCTTCCAACCTTGGCCACTCTGTGATTCTATGGTACCTCAAGAGAATTCTGCATCTCAGAGTGGGATCAAAATGGCCTAGATGCTTAGCACAGAGCTCCCCTGGATCAACTCATAGGAATTCAGGAAATGGGGCTACCGGGCGGTGTCTGAAATGCAAGATCACAAAGTTGCACTTTTCTGACCCATTCACTTGGGACCAATCCCCTAAAAGCAGGCATGTATCTTTTCAAAGACCAGAGAGGCTACTCCGAAAAAGTGGAAGGATTCACCCAGGAAAGGTTCAAACTTATCTTCTCTCCCTTTCAAGGAAGCATTTGCATAGCAAGCTAGAAGGCTACGCTTGCAAGAACTGAGGATGCTCTTCTATTTCATCTTCTGAACTGTGCAACTGCAGAGCAAACGCCATATTATGTTAGTGGAGGAGAGAGATGGGAGATAGGAAAGAAATGTCATAGAGACATTTTGCTGGTCACCTGAGAGAAGGGAGAGACAGGTTCTAATTTCTGCTTCCAAGACAGGTGTAAAACGTATTAATGATTCTTATGACATCTTCTAAATATTTTGGTAGCCTAAGTCTTCTTAAGGACCTGGGCCTAGGGCATTTATCTTTCAGCTATTGCAGATATTTCATGACCAAGCAAATGAAGAGAAAGACAGACTTCTACCTGTACTCAGATAGATTTTAATCAAGCGGCTTTGTCCAGTGCTACAAGTGAAAAATCACTTCATGCAGCTCCTCACTTAAAAGGTTGGTACATACTTCATTTTCATACAGGTAATTTTGTAAAAAATCAGAAATTATGGGTTAGTTATATAGGTAAAATTATATGTCTATAAATGAAACTATTCACAATTCTTTCAGACTACTCAGCATCACTTCGAATCTTGCAGTCTCTGGTAACAGAGGTTTTAAAAGCAATTTCCCATTTTCTAGGTGGGAAGAGACATATCATCTTTAATAAGACAACTGAATTGCAAATATTTCTATAAAAGTTACCTGAATGGTTGTTTTCAGCTTAGAGAATGTTTTTGCACGTGGGTTTCTTTTCCTCCAGGTTGTTGCATTATAAGGTCCTGAAGTATTTTTGTCTGTAGAGAAATACATAAGTTGTTTTTTATTTTCAGCTAAAATTTCAGGAAAGAGCTTCTTAGCCTGATATATGAATTATAAGCAACATACACTGTACAAGTATCAATTGATGCATCAAGTGAATCACACATCATCTGTGAAATACAAGCTATTATTAAATACAGACTTATTTTCTCGCATGTTAAAAACAATTTGTAATCATGCAGCATTTTCATGAGGCTCATAGGACCTTCCAAGTGAGGGGATTCTTCCAAGGACGCCCTTGGTTTGACAAAATAACTGTTCTTCTGTTGAAAATCTTCCTGTGCATCAATTGCTTTTAGGTTGAACAAATCTATAATCCATGCTCCTCTTTTACTGCCACTTGTGAGCTCCTGCGCTACCCTATACAGAAAGGGTTACTTTTGCAACAGAGTATGTTCCTTAATGATTAATCATACAGTATAAAATTTGGTAAATAACTAATGTTATCAATATTCTTATTTTCTGTTAGTTCCAGATTAATTCCATTAATTCCAATTGTTAAGAATAATCCCCAAAATTTCAGTGTATATGCAATATTTAATTACTATGGCTTTCAGTTTTGGTCTAAAATGTTCCACTTGTGTCAAGCTGAATTTTGGGCTGGAGAATTTCAGAGCAAATGGCTCGGCTACTGCTGAAAAGAAAGGTAGCAAAAACTGTTTTGTTTGTTTTTGTGACAAAAATTCTGGTCACCATTTCTTTGAAATGCTTTATTCTTTTTTAACCTGGAAATCTGATAAGGTGTATTCTTCGTATTAAGAATGTTCCTTTTGTTTTCTCTATACAAACCTACCCACATTTAATCCAAACAAAAAAGAAAAAAAACTGTTTTAATGATGTAACAATTAGGAAACAAAAGGATTCAGATGGCCTCTACAACCTGAATTCGGCCACATCTGTGTATGTGTTGTAAGCTTTATTGACATGGATCACATATGACTTTTCCTCTGGGCATTTGCTTTAATCAGAATGCAGAATTCAGATTCCTTACTGAATTCAGTGTATTTTAATGTCTCATCTATTAACCTCTGCTCTCTTTCATTCTGCAGTGAACACTATTGAAACCTCATGTGAAAGACAGAGTAACTAATTCATTTTCTCATGGACTTTGCAGAAGGGTCACATGCATCTGAAAACTTCATAAACATGAATAACAATATTCAAGTAAAATCAAAAAAAAACTCTTGTAAAGTGAGGGTAGTGTTATCCCCACTGAGATGAAATTTGCTGAGCACAGAGCACAAATATCCACTGATTTTGGTAGCTTATTCTCTACGACTTAGACTCAGTTTTGCTGAGTAACTAGCACTAAGTTAGCACTCTGTACGTTCAAGGCACAGACTCCCTTGATATGATTTGCAGCAATGAGTGATCAGCACTTCTACAGATTAGTCCTTGAGACTAATCAGTGATGTTGAGATTCATTTTACCTAACTGTCTTCATCTTGAAGCAAGAGACATGTGGTCTAAAGGAGGTTCCTTTTTTTGGAAGTGAAGACAGAAGGGCACTTCAAGGTAGAGATTCAACCCAGCTTAACGTAGGTATATAAAACTGGCAAGATGAATCACTTTCTCCACTTATAATTATTTAAATTAGTTACTGCTGAATTTGTGGCTGGAATGACAGATGAGAAAACACACTTAATTATCCAATGTTACCATGGAGACGGAAGTAAAAAGATAAATAAAACCCAGATTATGGTACTACATTGTATGAAGCCGTATTAGCAAGTGAAAAATAAAGTGAAGGTTGTAAAATCAAAGCTACACCTGAAATAGACCCCCAAAAAGAAAGATACAAGACTTGGAGTCCCACCTGAAAGCTTTTTGTCAAATTTCTGACACAGAAGGTACTATCAAGAAGAGAGTATTTCAAAGATGTAAAGAAGCCAAGGAAAATGTCATCCTGAAAGGATGGCAGGAAGAAGGAATCCAGTCCTCTGTCCAACAGAAATACAATGAGGCAACTAGCCAACAGTCATCATGTAAATCACAAAAATTTACAATACATTCAAACTGATAACAGAAGTTTGAATAAATTTTAAGCTTTTGCTTATTCAAGAAGAAAAAAGTCATAACAGAACTCTCGTGAAATATTAGCTGGGGAAAAATATCACATAAAGTAAGAGCATTTCTGGATCCCCTGCTGGTAGGCAAAAAGTTGAACAACAAATGTTTCTTGAAACAAAACTGAGATTCTACTGTGAATTACTTCTACTACTATCGCTATCAATATTTAGAGTAGAATGGGAAGCTAGAGATGGATTATTACAAGGTTTCTTAAACACTTCAGAAGATTAAATCATTGAAAAGATGCTTTTCAATTACACTGTAGAGAACAGTTGACATACGTCCTTCATCTGACCTATTTAGAAATTGAACATGAAAAAAAATATAATTCTACAGTAAATTCCAGTGTATTGAACATGGGATTATATTCACATTAAGTTTCTGAACAGATGAGACAAAGAAACATGCAGCAAGAGAGGGAGGGAGGAAGGGGGAGAAGGAAAGGGGGAGAGGGAGAGAGAGAAAGGGAGTGAGAGACGGAGGGAGACAGAGAGAGATAACCAGTCATACCTTCTCCAGTGCTGTCCTTATGAAACTTCTAGAAAGTGTCAAAAGAAATGACAAAGATTTTAGTCTCTGGGCCTGATTCAGACTTACATGAAAAATTCCAGTAGAACAGCAATGTTTTTCCTAGAAAAGAGCCTATAAAATTTTAACAGATAATTCACACAGCTTTTAAATATTCGTGCGTGCTTTCACAAGCAACACTTCCTCCTCTTTGGAGAGTAGTCAAAATTCCTACTAACTGTAAAATCTGGGGATATGTTAGTGCACATCAGCATATCAATCAATGTATTCATCCCTTTTTGTTGGGCAGCAAAGTGCACTAGGCATAGAAATGGATCCCTGCTACGAAGGCTGCTAAATTACTGCTCACGAATGTTCTGTTCTACGTAATTTTTACCAAGTACAAAAAATTATTCACATTTCTCTCTATGGCTATGACACCAACCTGCTTATGAAAATTAAGCTGGATCAAATTTATTTTTGCCCCATATTTAGGTAGGAAGTTGTAGTGACAAAACTGAAAGCAGTGCTACAGAGCAAGTACCTCTGAGGCATTTTAAGAATCCTATGTGACCCTGAACTCACCCATAGATCCACTAAGCTTTGGTTCTTGGATGACTGTGACATTACGGTAGAACACATATGATGATCTTCCAGGCTCTGAAGAATTCAAATAAGTCCTTCTTCCAGTTGCTCTCGCAGCAG